TTTTTTTTTTCCAATTGTACCTCCCATCCTCTCAGACCCCTAAATGTTGCCAGGATGTTCAAAGACACTGTGCAGCGGGTTGCACCCCGCGGTTGTCCAGCGTGCTGACTTGGTAGCGTGTGCTAAAATACAACACAGACACCTTCACCCGTCCTAAACCCAGCTGATTACTCAGCTTTAAATCTAATTCTGGAGTTCTCATCCACCTCTCTAATGACTTATGGGTTTTCATTACTTGCTCCCTGAGCGCAGCAGCTTCCTGCAGGAAACCATTCACCATTGCTCACTAGCTCCAAATTTTCCTTCTCCTTATGCTGTGCTGCTTCTCTTCCCCCAAAAGCACCACTTTATCATCCAGCTTCTCCTGGAAAGTTCCTGTGCTCCCAAAACTCTACGGCTTTCCTCTCTCCCCCCTTTCTTCCAGCCAAGGCTCAAGCTACTAAGACGATAACTGCAGGTGTTGTGCATGGAGACAACAACTCCCCTACCTCCAGGCAATTCAAGCGCGTTGTTTGTTCACAACCCCCCCAACTACGCGTGTAAACGAGGCCAAGGGAATCAGCAGGTTACTGTTCTCCTCTGCACTTGCAAATGTGAGTTTTTCCTGCTACGAGATTTTGTGAGCGCCAAACGCTTTGCCAAAGACTTTCATATGATCTGGCTGGAGAGCAAGAAGCGTCAGACATCTCGTTGCAAACTAGGTTTCCAGCCCAGTTTTGTCCTCAGAAGGGATCCGAATGACTTTTAGAGGAATCTGACTTTGCAGCGATCTGCTGCTGCACCCTCTGTTAGTACCTACAAGACATCTGCAGCCTAAAATATCCTGAAATTAAACCTATTTGGTTTTGTACCTGTCTGGTCTGTCCTGTCATTCCTCATTTGAACTGCTTTGCATCCTCTGCTATGCAACATGTTGTTCCCTTTTCCTCCTGAACTTGCATAAGAGAAATATAAAGGAAAGCAATTATTTTGCAAGTAAAACTAGAACCACCCAGGCTAAATCAGGCAGTTTTCTGGCATCGTCTTAAAAAAGCAGGGCTCAAAGTACAACAGAGGAAAAAAAAACCCCAGCCTCCTCATTATGAAAGAGTGATCAGCTGAATAAGAAATCCAAGGGGAAAAAAAGAAAAAAAAAAAGGAGAGAAGAGCAAAGGGAAAAGGGTTCAGGTTAAACGGTCCTTGACAGGACCCTGACGGAGCATAAACCTGCCACAACGGTCCTGCAAGCAGAAGGGGGGGTTACAGGCCCCCTCCCCAAAGGCCCCAAAGGCTTCGTAGGCATCTGGTTGGAATTACTTACCAAGAAAGACAGAGCGAGCGAAGGGGGGCGGGGGGGATCGGCAAGAATAGAAACGAAGAGGCAAGCAAGCGACCTCAGCCAGCAGAGGAGAGGAGAACATGACAGCCCAAATGGCAGTTGTTTTCTCGGCACAGGACAAGCGGCGAGTGGGCTGCCTCGTGGCAGCACACCGGGAAGCGCCGCGTGGAGCAGGCAGGCTCTGTTTTGGAAACCCGAGTGGCAAATTTTCCCCTTCAGCCTCCCTTGCAGAGCGGTGGGCAAACTGTGCCAGAACTCTGCCCGCATATTTTTTTTGTAATGCCTGGTACTTCCTTTTTAAATATTAATTCTCATTCACGGCAGCAAATCCATGCAGCTCCCCGCTTTGGGAGCGCGTGTCAGTCCCAGGGCAGGTGTCTGGTCCCTGCCCACGCTGAACAAGTGTCTCTCAGACAGAATAACTGAGCCAGCCTCTCGCAGAGCTGATGGAAGGATTGATTTTGTCGCAGTAAAGTCAAGCCGTGGGGTTGCGACGTTAGAATGGGCAAGAAACTCGCCTGGTAAGGCCATCATGATCCTAAGCACCAAGATTTGTTCCAGGATGTTGTTCAGACATTGGTGAACAACAGTCTGAGGTTCATCGATCCCTCTTCTTTGTTTTTCAGTTTCTATAATCATCCTCCCAGCCTCTGACAAGGGTCGGGAGAGATGGGAAGTTCAGCCAAGCTGAACGACGCATGGTTTTGGGCCTTAGAGTAAAAAGGCTTGTTTGTTTAGTTGCTCAGTGTGGGGTTGTTTTTTTTAGAAAACAGGATAGTGCAAAACAAGACTGTTATTAAACCTACTGTTGACATAACGTTTACGACATCACACAAGAAAGGATATTAAATCTTTTCCCCAGGATCACAAAGATTGGTCAATGGTCAGTGCACTGAAAAGTTAAACTGGCCCAAAATACTTCAGTCTCTAAATCAAGCAAAAACAATGAGACAGTTAGATTTTTCTAATTCAGCCTTTCCTGCAGCAACACAGATGAGATGAGCTAGCAACACAGGCGAGAGAGTATTTTCTGCAGTAAGAGTATCGCCTTGATCACACCTTATACAAACCCATTTTCTAAAGGTGTTACCTCCACCGGCTGCAGGGTCTGATTCACAGTGTCCTGTTCAACAAAATACCAAACGCTACTTGTTATTCTGGGCCAGAGTAACAGCATCATTTTTTTCACGCAGGCAGCCCAGGCTCCAGTTCCAGTCACGGATCTCTTGCTCTGAGCACTGGCCAGACCGGGGAGAGACAGAAAAGCTGCATCACAAGTACCACAGGGGAAAAAATTGTGAGCTGGGGAGGCAGAAGGGAGCAAAGGTCTGGGTTCCCTCGGCGGCGGTCGTTGTACCTGACTAGGAAACACCAGGTCATACATTTTAATCCCATTTTCCTAATCCACATGGCCATTTCCCAGATGAAGTGACGTAATCAAACAGGGATGCTGCTGATGAAGGGTTGCCCAAAAGAGGGAGGGTTCGGAGGGAGGGGTAAGACAGGCAGAGAAGCAAAGCGAACGTGGCATCTCCTTGGGATGCAGCATGGTCTTCAGCGTGTGTTTCAGAGAGAACAGCTACAGTCGCTTGACGCTACGGAGCTTGTCAAATTGCCTGGAAGGCTCAGAGGAAAGAGTCATCTTCCACACAATTTTACAAGGCAAAAGAAATCTTCAATTTTTTAACTATATCCCCTAAGCTTCTAAAGGAATTGAACCGACACCTATTCAACCCTGTGCAGAAGGGAGAGGAGAAAGAAGTACACAAGGTCAAAGCCGACATCTTGCCTCCCCAAGGAAGGCTCGAGGGCACCCAAAGAATGTGGCAGGAGCTGATGATAGAAAAAAGGGCATCTTCTTGTCCCTTTGCTTTTTTAACACATACTGAGCGGAAAAAAATTAAGTGCTCAAATCCTTCTTAGCCATGAAAGGCCGGATCGCCACTTGAGGTGGCTGGGTACAGCAAAATCTGCCTCGGCAGAAAAACAGAGGCAAGCAAAATGGTTCCTTGTCTCCTTAAAAAAATAACCAGAGCTGGTCACGGACTAATTAGTGAAGGAATTTTACATCCAAAACCGCTGAAGAGTCAAAACGCAGCACTGCTTTTGGAAAGGGGAGGACTGACACCTCCCTGTGCTACGCACAGACCAAAAAAGCTCTTCCAAATGCGGGTCACTTGTGGCTGGTGTGAACTTTTAGGCCCCACCAAATCATCTACTCATAGCCCACACAATACTTAAGTGGTTTTCCAAAGAAGAACTGCTTAAGGAGAGAGGCTACAACAGACACGCAGCAAAGGCCACTCCATATCCCAAGGGCATAAAAAGCAGGGACAACACCTATTCCAGCCTCCCCCTACCCCACTCTCATTTCTTTTGAAATCTTCTTTGTTCCTCATTTTTTGGGCAGAAGACAGACACGCTGGAAATAAGCATCAACAACAACAACAAACACAACAACCCGCTCAGTTCTGAGCAGCGTGGGCAGGGATTCATGGTAGCGAGAAAAAGAAGAAAGTCACTCACCCTCACGAAGCTGGCGGGAAACCATCCTTCCTCATCATCGATCTGACCCCACCACCAGTCCTTGTTGGAAGCATCCAGGACCTTGATAACGTCTCCTGCTTTAAATGCCAACTCCCGGTTGGCCATGGTGACGTGATCCCATACTGCCTCAGCACTTACAATAGAACCACCACTGATCAGCTTTGAAAACAGAAAACCATCAGTCAATACAAGCTCGGTTCCCCCACGCAAGCACATGCACAGCAGCAGGACAGAAAGAAGCGCTCAGCCAAAGTAAAACCGCTTCCCTGCGTTCCAATCCGTAACAATTGCACCCCCACACGACCTCATCCAGTCTGCGACCGTTTCCACGGGCCACCGTTCTGCTCCTGCCCACGCCACGCAAGCGAGCACCGCGGGCGGGCGTTCAGGGCCTCTCCGGCCCCGGCCCCACGCGTGGGAAAAGCCACACCTCCCCTCCCACCGCCGCGCCGTGTTTGGGAGCATGCACATCCACCAAGGTACATGGCTTTCAGGTACAGGTCGGTTAGCGTAACGTAGAGCTGGGAGCCCCCCAAAAAGGCAAAACCAAGCGATGGCGTCCTGCAAAGGAATTTTTTGTTGCAGAGCAAGTTTGCTCAGTTAAAGGATCAAACGTCAGCTCGAGGCTCAGAAGGCTTTCCATGCAAATCCAAGCAAAGTTGGCAAATATATTTAGAAGAACACTTCTTTTGAAAAGCGGGAAGCTCCGTGTTTGTTTAGAGACATCCCTTGTTTAGTCGTGACATCCCTTGCTTTTGAAACCTTGAAGCTACACAGCAGGTAAGGGGCACCGTGGCACCCTGCTGATCTATTTCAGGCCTGACCTGGAGCACAGCCCAGCCCCGTGGCACACCGAAACCTCACTCTGCCCACATGCCCACAAGAACCCTGCCGGCACTGGCTGTCATGACAGTCTTCAAGGTGCAGATACCTGCCCACTGGAAACTGGACTGAGGCCAGACTCGCGTCTGACAGGACCTACTGAACGTCTCTCCCCATGGAGCATATGGTCGCCTTAGAGCTGGGCCAGCACCACGGCAAGGACCTAACCCGGTCTCATCTTCGTTGCGAGCCACCCAGTTTCATATATACAAAGCTCCCTCTTAATGCTTGCTGGAAGGACTCATCCGAGCATTGATGCTTGTGCATCCACAAGACAAATCATCTGCCCGTGCCTGGGACACTCGCCGCTCCTCAGAATGACAGTCATGTATTTTTTAAGAGAACAATAAATTGTGTTTATGTTTAGTCCACTGCAGGGAGCCTGCACTGAACAGTAAGACTGCCCTAGCAAATCCAGACTTTACCCATACGCTTATTAGTTCATCAGAGCCATCCTGAACCTTGTTCATTAATTCTGCCATCCGAGAGGCACTGAATGTATACGTGGGCTCACCTCCAAATCAGATTTTCGGCTCACAAAGAAAAAGCTCAGCACTGCAACCATTACAGACCTTCCAGATGGCAAGACTTTAACAGCCACAGACATCCTTTCAATTTAGGCAAGCACTACAAAGCAGAAAGACAATAACCCATTGCAGCGGTGAAGCAAGTAGAGAAGCACTGGGAATGGTTAGGGAACACTTAATGGCTCTTTTATAAGTTTGGCTTACCAAAATGCCTGCTAATAACTACCTGTGCAGCAAGAACTTGCAGGAAACCTTCTAGCACTGCTGCAGGGTTCTCAGCACAAATATGTAAGAGCATTCAAGGCCCTACAGGCAGTTCAGTCAACAGATTAAAGGACCTGATTTACCGTTTTCCTTGAACTGACTTTCCTTTAAGAAATCAAGCTCCCTAGGTTTGTGACAGTTACAGTCGCAGTTTCAGCTCTTCAATTATTACAGTCAGTTGTACATAAAGCAACAAGATCTAAGAAAGCCTAACTTGACAGTGTCTTTCATCCTCAAAGCCAAGTCCTATCTAGTCAGCGGACCAGACCTCTCTTGTTCCCGCAGTAGATAAAGTAAAACAACGTTCTTCCTTCTTCCATTTTGACAAGTCATCCTTTCTAATCCAAAATCAGCCGTACAAGAAACATGGCTTCTTCGTATATCATACAGGGGACTTCTACGCACAGGCCTCACAAGATCACCTGCCAGCAGACGGAAAACAAAGGCACGGCTTAATAACCAACTCTCGCTGAAGAGTCGAGCAATGGACCCAAGTGATGTGCTGAACTTCTCACAGAGGGCATCTACTGTGTCGACCTGCAAGGAGCCGGGCACCAGAGGATCCCATCCAAACCAGTGGCAGCTGAAGTTAGATGGTGTAGGACCCTCCGTTCACCCCAGCTCTGGGCCCTCACTTAGCCAGCAGTGTAGCTACATCTGGAAAAACAAGAGTTATAGAGACTGAGTTCCGATTCCAGCGCCACAACTGAATGCTCAGCCCAGGTGGGGTGTTTCAGTGCTTCCTCACACCACCTTGCGTTGCTCTAAATCAAGGTTTCTAGATATTTTCATAAATATCCACCAGTTTAAACCACAAAGAACCCCAAGACAGATCTGGAAGGAATGAAGACTTCACAGCTGAAGAAAACCCCCTCAATATATTCAAGACCACTTAACAGTCACCTGTTCTTCTGCCAGGACTGAGCTCTGCTCCTTCACTAGTGGTTCCCCTTGGCCTTAGGTCTGGACGCTGTCCAGCCTGTGGTTCCCCAGGTTGAGCAAGCCCTGCTCCTTCTTGTCTTGGCAGACGGCTCTTCCTTCCCCTGAGCATTTCACCAGCCCTTTTAGGCTTCTAGATATTTTGCCTGCATCTTCCTTGAACATAGATGACCAGAACTGTAAATACTATTCCCAAAGAGACCTTCCCACAGATTTGTGAAACAGCATGAAATATTTATTACAGTGTCACAGAAATCTTGCAGTAATACTTAACATCGCCCCCTTTTTCCTACGGCTACCTCCCACCAGCGCCTCACTGTGAGCTTGCATTTAGCTTAGCTAAATAAATGAGGTAGAGTACGTTCTCTTTGTCTAGAAAATCAGTTTTCCTGTCAAAAAATAAATCAGGTTGGCCTGACACTCATTCCCTTTGTTAATGCCATTGGGTATTTTAGTCCATTTTTCACTGATGATGAACCAGGAACAGAGCTATTATGCAGAAGCCGTGGTTCTGCTTTTTCTGCTTCAGCTGACATAGACTTTGCTGTCACTTCCACACACAGGCAGTTCTGGGCACGAACTGCCACAGAAACGTCACTGCAAGCAAACTTCAGAGGGACTGTGCTTTAGAGCCTCCTAGCCTACTTTGCAAAAGCGCGTTTCCCAGCCCGAGGCACAAAATCCCAGCTCCGAAGAGCACGGCTTGGCCAGCGGCAAGGGCTGGCAGGGACTCGCAGAGGGCCACCAAAGCAGAGGAGTGCGCTTGGCCGTTTTCTGCCGTTCACGGAGATCTGGAAGATGCTCTCCGTGGACGGCAGGAGCTGCGGTGGCTTTTCTTGATACTCAAGGAGAAAGGCTGTAAGTTCTTCGTTTGCACTAATGCCAGCAGAAAGAAGAAAGGCCCCTTCAGCTGGTCCTCTCAAGCCCCACGCCCATATTGTCAGCCCAAGAAACACCCCAGGAAGCCTACAAGCAAGCCCTGGCCTTCCAAAATACAAGTACAGTTCAGCCTGTGAAAAAAGGACGGCAGCGGGACGGCAGAATTCGAGTTCCTGCCATCACACGGGCTGGGTCCATTGAGCGAACGTCAGAGCCTAAAATTAAAAGATCCAGTTTAATTTATTTCGCAAGACATCTTGCTGCATCTGTGGAGCCGTCTGACTCTTTCAGGGCAGGGTTACAGAGACAGAACCTGACATCTGCAGCAGCAAGAGATGATGAACTAGAGAAAGGTCAGGATAAAATATTATTTTCTGAGAGAATTCGACATAGGAGCTCTTCACTCCAGAAAGTTCATGTCTCTTGCTTTCAAATCTTGAGTCTCAGCACTGTGGTCAGACCTATTCAGCCAAAGACCTTGAAAGGGACTTATCTCCCGTAATGTTTGCCATACAGCATCTGAGACAGTCATCTGGGCTCCTTTATAATCAGTGAAGAGAAAGAGACACATCTGGAGTGTGAATCATCTCGGCTATTTCAGTTGTCTACCTTCGAGTGAGGTGAATCATGCCCTAGAAATTACTATTTCTCTGTGTTTAATTGGGTGATGCAGAAGTTTACATTTCCAACAGCTTACGTTCATCCCATCTACAATTTGGCCATCACCAAAAAGGGGTAACAAAGAACTAGATTCAATAATAGTCATCACGATAGGAATAGTCAAATATTAAATCACACTCTCCCAGACACAGCAGTTTCTCAGAATGCGAAGGTGGTTGTAAATAAAATCATGTTCTTCACGTCCACTGGAAGAATTCACAAAATCTCAGCCTTGTATAGTTACAATAATGAGGACTCAGATATTTGGGGAAAGCGTCCGACTCTGAAGAAGAGGAAGGCAGCTAGAAGAAATGCAATAGGTGACGAGGTACATTTGGTTTTGACATACCCTGAATAATGCTTGTGTTCGTGGAAGTCCTAGTTCCCATTAAAATCAATTATTCTTGTCAGTGGGTTGTTCAAACTAAAGAGCCTAAAAAGTTCAACTGATGCTTTCACCATGCAACACCAGCACAGGAGAAGTGCCCAAGAGCATTTCTTAACAACAGACCTGAGAATCATTTTCGCGGTTTTACGGGAGATTTCAGAGCACTGCCAACCACCTTCCGTCTGGGGTGAAGAAAAAAACCTTCTCAGCGGGCGGACAACCAGATTAACTCCTGGGATGTCGCACGTGGTCTAGGGACCAGAGCCACTATTCACCGTGGGTCCTTCTTCACCTCCTACCAAACACGTGGGCATGCCCAGAGGGGAGTACCAGGACACAGACAGATGAGGGGACACTTCTGTGACCCAGCACCACAAATAAATTGACTTAACGAGGAAAAGAAAAAGGGAAGCAAGACAATGCTCTCTCTAATTATACGCACAGCTGACACATTTCTGAAGCACGTACGAAGAACAGGGGGTACTATCACCGTATCGCCAGGACCACACGCGTCAGCCTTTCCGGGGATTTTCACTAGAGGTTTCCAAAGCGCTCTGTAAACCTCCAATGATTCAGTCACAAACCCTCACTCTAAAGATGCGTATTTAAGACAC